ACTAGGATGATGTCGGCGTAAATGTGCAGTCATATTCGTTGTGTTCCCACTAGTGCTGTCAGCGTTAATCTCGTTGAAATGATGTTAACGCCACAACACGGCAAATCTCCGTTAACGAGCTACCCCTGCGTGGGGCTAGACGGCCAACACGTTGACGAGCTAACTGCGCTAACACACTAGTTCAACATACTGTTTTACTTTAGTCCATGACGTGCTTACCTTCAGGGTCATACGTCACATGAAAACCAAAATAATTCCAAACCCCAGATCTGAATGAGGGTGCCATGTTGCAAGGAGAGCTTAACTTCTGTCTCGCTAGCTTGCCCTGCTCTTCTTTCTGATGATCCTGTCTGTGTTGAACGCTCAGTGGATCTGCGCTCGACAGTGCAGCCTAGGCGGAGTAGTCGAACGCAGATTCACTGAGCGCTCCACACAGACAACATCGTCAGAAGGAAAGTTGATAAAATAAATGACAAATTTTTTATTGTTCGATACATATGCGTACCGAACCGAAAGCACTGTATCGAACGGTTCAATATCGATACGAGCATCGTTGCACCCCTAATTGTGGGATAATGTGAAAGCAAAATACTACATGAATATAACTAAGCCTGGAATGTCAAATCATTTTACTCCAATTTTGGACTCGAGTTTCCATCACTGTAAAGAAGTTAAACTACACATTCAGTCTCTGAGACACAGAAACACAATTTTGACATTATGTCTCAGTTTTTCTACGTCATAAAGAAACAGTGCAGTAGTAAATGAAAGAAATCTGTCAGCATGACTCTGGGCCTAATTTGTAAGAAGAAAATGTGTAAGATTACACAAATCTATAGTTTAATTACTCTGGTGTATTGTGAATGGCCATGACGAGATCGTTATCAATAGGAAACGCTGTTAAACTTGTAAAATTGTTATGAAAATACAGTTAAAAGTCCTAACTCATATTTTTCAAAGCCACCCTTCGGGCTGGATTGGAGTCTTTGATTCAGGAGCCTCATGTTTGACACCCCTCGTCTAAACAATAGATCCTGCATTAATAAATCTTTGCATTATATTTTGAAATGGAACTGATATAACTCTTGTTGTATCAGTTGTGTTCATGTCTTAAAAAAAGTTTTGGGTAACACCTGATAATAATCACTAATAAAAGCTTGACTCACTGAAGCTTATTTTACAGTATATACCAAGGAGGATAATAACCTTCACAGTTATCAAGAAACGCCAGCAAAACGGGTTTGTTTGAGATGATCTGCACGTTTCCTGAAAACTGCGCCTGTGTGCACAGAAAATAAAAAAGTACTAGAGATGTTTTTTGTTTGTTTTTTTTACATTTGCAAATATGAAAGCAATTTAAATGGCAAATGCCGAATCAGAAATGGTATTTAGCAACAGCAACTTTTTAAAACTGCTTTACCTTCAGTACCCATAAAATATCACTAGAGGGCGCTCTGTACCCACACATTTGCACAGCCGCCTCAGTCAGGCGGTCTGAACCAAGACTTGTGTCTAGAAAAAAAAGTTTGATTCGCTGATCATGTGAATCCTTTTCATGCTTCCTGTTGAGGATGATGGTTGATGATGGGTTAACTAAAAATATTTTAGGTACTCTCAATACTCAGCATGTGAAAATATATATATAAAACACAAAGCAGCACAAAGAGAAGCATGAAAACCAAAAGATGCATCTCAAATGCTTAACATTTTAAAGTCAAAAGCTATCACTGCAGGTTTTCACTGCAGGTTACTCATCACCCTCTTTTAATATCAAATCAGTTAAATATTGTGAAATGAATCTAAAAATAATCTTTGGGGGAAACAGGGAGGCTATGAGGCCATAACAGTGGTGTGCTGTTGCATCATGTGATGTTTATCTCTGCCCAGCGCCTGTTGTGTTTACAAGCACCCAGACAGCCTGGTAAAAGAGAAAGCCCTGAACCCCGTCTAATTATCTTAATGTAATTAATGGATTTGTGATTGAAAGACAAATAGCTATGACCTTTTTTTTGGTAAAATATACACCCGCCCCTCATTTTGTTAGGTCAGCTGCACATCAACACAAATATCTAATCAGCCAATCACTAAATGCATTTAGGCATATAGACGTGATCAAGACGACCTGCTGAAGCACAAACTGAGCATCAGAATGGGGAAGAGAGGTGATTCAAGTGAGTCTGAATGTGGCGCAGCTGGTGATTCCAGACTGGCTGGTCTGAGTATTTCACAAACTGCTGACCTACTGGGATTTTCTGACATAATCATCTGTAGGGTTTACACAGGATAGTCTGAAAAATACAGAAAGAAAGTAAAAATCCAGCGAGTGGGAGTTCTCTCAGCTAAAATGATGTATTGATGATAGCTCAAATAACCACTTGTTACAACCAAGGCATGCAGAAGAGCACTTCTGAACACAAACTTTGAAGCTGATGGGCTGCAGCAGCAGAAGACCACCTGGTACCTCTCCTGTACCTAACTAAGAAAAGGAAACTGAGGCTATAATTAACACAAGCTCACCAAATCTAGACAATACAAGATTGTAATAAAAGAAAAACTTTCACTGGTCTGATGAGTATCGATTTCTGCTGCAACGTTTGGCTGTTTGCATCAGAATTTGGCATAAAAATGTGGAAACATTGATCCACCTGCAAACTGTATCAACAGTTCACGTTGGTGGTGGTGTAATAGTGCGAGGGACCCTTGGTACCAACTGAGTGTCGTTCAAACTCCACAGCCTACCCGAGCATTGCTGCTGACCGTGTCCATCCCTTTATGACCAAAGTGTGACCATCTTCTGATGAGGACGTCCAACAATAACATGTCAGAAGTTTAAATGAGCTCAAACTGGTTTCTTGAACATGACAAATCAAACTGGCCTCAACAGCCGCCAGATCTCCATCCAATAGTAGTCGGGCTTCAGTCCTGACATCATTAAATAAACAACATGCTTTGAGAAGTGATGATAAACCACAGAAAATATAAATTTCATAAAATTTTAGAGGCTAAAACCTGAAAATGTGACTGATCATTTTTTACTTCTTGCTTCATGTGCATCGTTGAAAACCGTCAAACATTCAAACACACCTGCCACCTACATTCATCCTGAGTCATTTCATTTAATCAAAGTCTTTGAAACGGGGTGGAGCTTCTACTTTCTCAGAACTGGCAAGATGAGGTTCAGTTGGGAAAAAGCAACAGCAAAGCAACACCATGGTCTCACAGGTACTGGGTGTGGTTGGCGGTTAACCCGGCAGACATGCAAAGACAACTAACAGGTTTAGACAGAGAGCTGATGAAAAACAGAACAGATCAGAAAAAAATTACAAAATGTTTTCAATTAAAATAAAAGGTCATAACAGATCTGAATCCCAATTCAAAGGATTTAAAAAAAACACTGAGAAGCGAGACAGTGAGAGAGGTGAAGGTGGAACCACACACACAAACACATGCGCACACACACACACACACACACACACACACACACACACACACACACACACACACACACACAGGTGGAACTACCTGTTTCTCAGGTGCTGTTGTCATGAGGGGCAGCATGCCAAGGGACTCTGTCTCTCTGCAGTGCACAGTAGAGTCATTAAACATGGAAAGCTCGACTAAATGACTAGCATATACTGTATGTGATGAATGCATGTGTCTCTTCTCAGAGGACGCATTACATCAAGACTCGTGGATTTGATTCTGAAAACTGATATGTTGCACCCACATACTAGTACTAATGCCAAAGGTCTAATGCTCTTTAACAGCAGCTCACAGGAAACCCTCAGAGCTCTACAGGGTATGAACTCAGTCAGAAACTGAAAGCCATTTCTGTATCATTTTTGGAACAGCTTGCACTCAGATATTTAGTTTTTACAGAGTATTTCTCGGAAAATATCATGACAAAAACAAAGGAGGGAATTCATGAAACAATATCATCTGTTACAAAGCTTTAAAAAATAGTTCAGTTATCTCGGCCCTACAAGAAGACTGTTTGAAAAAAGTAATACTGTGTTTGACAAATTCATGAAACAGATAACATATAAAGCTGAACAGTCTTTTGGGAATGTGTTCATCAGCCTGCTTTAAACAAACTGTTGTTTCTCACATTGTAAGCGGTGACGCCAGTGTTAAATGTCTTACTGCCATTCTAAATGCCAATGACACAGCTTTGCTGGGCCCATAACACCACCGGTGGATAAGCTCAACACTTGGAGTTGGCAAATACCATTCATTCATTCACTCATTCATTCACTCATTCCACTCCTGACCAGCGAGCAGCTCCACTGCAGCAGCTCAATATTTAATGCCTTGCTCAGGAACTCCTGAGCAGCACGGACAGACCGGCCACTGTCACTGTTCCTTATTTCTTAATTAACAAAGAAAAAACACATTAAAGACAAAAAAAAGAGCAAAGCACCAACCAAAAGTTGTCAAAACATCTGGCAGATCCTCAACATCTGTCCTCTTTTGGTTCTGAAGGTCTGCAGAAAAATGCAACAAGATTTGTATCATACTTTCATGGGTAATTATTACCTTTATAGGTTTTACTTTTTTACTTTATGTCCTGAGTCTGATGACTCGGTGTTTTGTGTTTGTTTATATTAACTTTTGTTCTCGTTTATTCTGGTTATGTCGTTTGTTAAGATTTGCTGTTTGGTAGGTTTCAGTTCTGTACTCCCTCTGTTCGTGTTCTGAGTCTGTCTCTGCATATGTGTTGAGTTTCCTGTTTTACTTTGAAGGTCTGTGTTCCTCCTTCTCGTCTGTGTAATCAGTGTCAGGCCTGTCTCCCAGCTGTTTCCTCTCAGTCCTGTTCACTTCTTGTATTTAGTGTCTGCGTCTCTCCCTGCTCGTTGTCGCGTCATTCCCCACTGTGCGTTTTGTCTGCCCGCCTGTTTGCTTGTTTAGTTTAGTTACTTTGCCAGTTTTCTGTTTTGCCTGCTGTCGAGCAATAAAGCTGAGTAGTTTTAAGTTCGTTTTTGCCTCCACAAGTTTGCTCTTGGGTCCACAATTCCTGCCTTCACACAGTCATGAAACGTCATTCCAGTTACATTTGGAACACCATAGTTAGAAAATAATGTCTCCAATTTGTAATTTTGATATTTGTATTTGGGGACATGGCTGTACTCTTGGCCTGAGACGTCAGAGAGCAGGGCAACAGGACTCGAGCACCGAACAGACGAGAAATATAACAACTGATAAAGTTTCATGTGTAATGAAAGGGTGGGAGATGGCACTGAGCTCATCAGCTGACCTGCCAGACTTGGATTTAATGAAAGGTAATTTTTAAGTGCAGCCATCATCAACTCAAGTGTGCAGGCATAAAAGAATATAAGGGAACGTGTGATATATATTGTTTTAAAAGTAAAGGTTTGTTTATTCTTGTTGGCCAGCATTTTTCAGAGGCTCATACTCACTAGGATATGGTAGATGAAGATAATTACACAACATTTAAAGTATTAAATTAAACAAAGCTCCACAAATTTTGTAAAGACAACAGATTATTGGGCTGGCTTACAATCATTGGTATTACTATTTACTAATAGACTCATATTACTGAATGAAGGAAAAAATCATATTCACAGACAATAACTGTAACATGTTAGTCTGCACATGTAAGTGGAGTGGCCTCCAGTGGGACAGAGTTCATAACATCTTTTACTTTTACAGGGAAATAAGATGGGGCACTGAAATGGTCTGCGGGCCGGCTACATTTAACCCATCACTAATCCACTAAACCCATATCGCTAGACCTTTGGTATGTTAGTAGTTACTCAGTGGTGGGAAACACATGTGCAGTGGGGTACCTGTAATGCTGATGAATGTCAGTGTAGCCCTGAAACCCCTATGAGTGATGCTGCTGTCCGACGTAAACCGAAGCACCATGGTGCTGTGGTAGGAAAGGACAGGAGGAGGGATAGTGCCGCCACACAGCAAGGCTAAACAAAGGAATGCAACAAGATACTGAGTGATACAGGTATAAAAAGATGAATTCGGATTTGATGTATCCATCCTACCAATCTCCTCTGTTCCTTCAACATCTCCCAGGACAGTGAGGGAATCATACAAGCATCTCTCTGACTCCTCCAGGTCAAAATCAGTAAACTCCAGCTGAAAATATAGAAATCAACCAGCTTCTAATCACACATGTCCTAATAATACCTTAAGAAGAATACCAGGTAGGTAAGTTGTGCAGCTCACCTTAACCACATGACCCAGAGGAGCATGGATTACCCAGTGGAGGACACAGTCATTACTGTAGGCTTGTGGGTGATTTGGACTGTGTATAGAAGCCTTATCGTCAACCAGAACAAGTGTTCCACATCCTGAGTGCGCGCGCGCACACACACACACACACACACACACACACACACACTAGACAGTTCAGTTTAAAACATTTAAAAACACTCATCTGCACACAAATGCACATCATTAGCTGCTGTTTTTAAACCTAGAGCTTGTGTGTATTTTTTAGAGTCCTCACTTAGCCTGTTGGTGTCTCAAGCAGCATCCACCTGCATAATTTGCTGTTTGTTACAAAAACCACAACCCACAGACACAGCAGAAGCTAAAATTGTGTATGAGCTGAGTACGCAGTGCGTGCATCACTCTGCCAGCTGTATAGTGTATAATCTGGATTGCATAAGGCGCTCGTGTATGTTTGCAGTGTATGTTGTATTTCCCACCAGGATGAGAGTGTCCTTTGACTGCATGGTGCCTAATTACAAAGCCACTTCCTGCTCTGCTAACATCAGAGGAAAAGAGAAGTGTGGCATTGTGGGAATTATTTAGAAGAACTGGGCCGGGCAGCACACTTCCACAGAATATCCCTGAAACACAGAGGCACATGAAGACGTTTAGATATTTACACACACTTTTCTTTTTTTACTTGCAAATGTGTAAACCTGAGAGTCTCATGTTTGTGCTTTTAGAAATAAAAAAAAGGGGTTTTAAATCAGTGATATGTATTCCATGAACAAGATTCTCTCGTTGTCAGTGTGTGCAGTCGGGGTGTCATTCAGTGTTTTGCAAAGACTAAACCTGTGCTTACCAGCAACATTTGGCTGCATGGTCATCAAAAAAAATCCTATAGAAAATCCTAATCCTACATTCATCAATTCATGTGAAAGAAAGAATTAGATACACCGTCAAAGCTGTGGGAAGCTTCATGTTTTCAGCCAAGCTGTTTACGATAAGATATATTATGTAGGCCAACCACATCCTGACCCCGGCACAGTTTTAACTCACAGCCAAGACACAGAAAAACTGCTACCTCTTACAGCCATTTGTAAATTATTTGAACTGGCAATAGGAACATACCCTGTATATAAAAGATGGGCATAGCCTCCACAATACCACTCACTGGGTTGTGGGCTCTGTTTGAAGCCTCATAGTGGTTTAGCAACCATATTCACTTCTTTTTAAGCCACAAGTGACCACATTTGAAGCGGAGAGGGTGGAGTGCTGAGTTATCAGCTCCTACTGGCAACGGGTGCAACATCCACATCTGCTACTTAGTATTTGTAACAGGCTAACTTACCAGAACAGACGCACAATGTTCTTAGGTCTGTGCTAAATAGCAGGTCATGTTATTTGGAAGATAATTTTTTTTTAAAAATCCAATAAGTGACTTAGTGAAACTGAGGCCCAGCAGAGAGCCATGAGCTACAGCTGCATGTGTCATCACATGTCACTCAGTGTGGCTGCGCTTCTAATTTTAAGCCTCACCTGCATCCAAATGGACGAGGTGTAAAAACAGAGTTGTTACAAAAGGGGAGACCACATCATTTTGTTCACCAACATGTTTTCTAAAGGTATTTTAACATCGCGGTTTGAGGTTGCCATTGTGGGCACTTCTGCATGAAGCCCAGACATATCAGAAATATTACTTCTCATTTCAAAGACGTGATATATAAGATTGTATTTTTAGAAATGTTTCACACGTCCTTTAACACAGCCATCCCCAGAGGTCCAGGCTGGCTCTGATGCATCTTTAGTACAGTATAAGCTGGTGTATTGGATTCCTTTCCCTTACAGTATCTGAATTCTTTCACCCATAAAGATGACATTTCACAACTCCTCCAATCGGGCTCCAAGTGGGAAAGAGTTAGGAGAGTCATTACTTCATGACCCCCATGGTTGCTCGTATTAAATGAATGAAGGTGAACTGAACAGAAGCTCAATAACTGGCTTTTTCTTTTTCAGTTGCACATATATTGATATTTTTCATTACATTACTACAATAGACTACATATAATGATAGTATTGTGAGACTCTGTGATTCCCACAACATACAAACTAGTTGTTATTGTTGAGGTTAGCCAGGAAATGATTGTGAGTCAGTGCACTGTAAGCTGAAATGAAGGTGTTTGAAACTCACCAACAGGCCGATGGCTTCCTACTGAAACAGTGAGTCGATCATACCGACAGTACGAGTCGTTCTCCAAGTCAAAAAGATCGAACTCCAGCAGAATACTATAACCTGGAGGAACGCTGATGCTCCACAAACACAACCTGTGGGAAGGCATGAACAGTTTAACCAGGGCACTGTATTTTCCTTCTTTACATCCATATAATCCTGAGCTAAAAGTCAAATGTTAGTTTTTTAGAGTTTCTCATCCTCACAGAATTATAGGAAATATTGATTGCCAGTTATCTTATTAAGCATGGCGTTAGCTCAGGCAGCTTCTGGCACATCGGCTGATCTCAGTGACTGCTCATATCAGCACATCTGATTCATTTGCTTTAGGCTGCACATCTGCAAGCCACCTCATAACCCACCTCCACCCCAGCTTGTCCATTCAGTCTGCATCGAAATCAATTGATATCGCATTTGTTGCATGGACTGGTTGTTGCTCTCTCTGCCATCTTTTACATTTATGCACGTAAATGGCCTCAAATATAAATCACTACAGATGGAAATACAGTGTTCTCTTGACTACACTGATTCTGACTGAGCAGGCAGTTAGCACCGCCGCTTAGTTCTTCTCTGAAGTGTCACTCACTGGTTGTTGTCATAGCGATCGCCATGGAGCCTGGGATTTTTGATTACCCCGTTAATGTCAGACACAGGCCCATCTCTCACACTGCAGAGTCCTGAGACACACGCAAACATCAAAGAAGCATGAGCACATTATGAAATATAGATGAACAAGAGTTGGTGTAATGAGTGGAAAGACAACTCACTTGATGAAACCGTTGTCTGCTGCTGGTGCTCAGCTGAAAGAAGTAGAAAGATGAAAGAGAGAACATAAATATAGATGGAAGAACTTCCTCTGTCATCAGAATATTTGTTTCTGGAGGAACTGTGGACAAAACCCCACAGAGTTAAACCGCAGATTAACGTAATCTAAAATGTTCTAATTAGTTCATTTATTTATTCAATACAAAATGTTTTTTCTCCTAATTTTCAGAATGACACTGCTGAGTTTAAACAATTCAAAAATGCCTACAGACTTGGTTTTTGTAACCTTTTCTTCTCATAAAAATAATAATAAAAATCTGTTCTAACCATGATGACAGCATCAGATTGAGTCCAGCATGCTTTGATAAAGCTCAGCCTCAAAAGTTGTCTTTGTTGGGATCCACAAAGTGGCCCCATATGGAGAAGCAACAGCTTTAAATTGTATCACGTTAAATATTAATAACAGCAGCAGCTGCTAAATGAACTGCAGACAACAATCTGCTGCTCATGTTTGTGCGTCACACACTGTGTGAAAGCTAACGTCATCATACTGGGATGACACATACAAGATGCTATGCGTCTACTGTACAAAAGTCCTGAGGAAACCCTCATTTCTTCATATTCTGCTTGGAAAATAGGAATAATATGTTATTGTTTTCATAGATCCAACTACAGAAAGGCAAGAAATGAGACATTTTTGTGACAAACAGTAGTAACAAAGTATCAGATACATCTTAACTTTTGTTTATTGTTTATTTGAGTTATCTGTTGTGTTTAGACAGTGTTAAGTGGTTTTCTTCAGAGGAAAGAAGCACTGCTCTGATAAGGGTCCGATACGAGGGCCGGAATGAAAATGAGTGACAAAGAAGTCACTGTATAAAAGGAAGACTTGGAAAGGCCTTCAGAGAGCCGGGACAGCTATTAAGACTGCTCTTTAAAAACAGTTACAAGTAAGTCTGGCTCCTTGGAAGCAAAGTATAAAGAAAGGAAAGGTGACTCAATGCTTTTTCACAGTACTGTACTCACAACACTTAGAAAGGCAAGTGTGTTTGTATATCACGTCATGAAGGTCTGTTTTTTAAGAACATATTTGAATCGATTGCTGATGAGGAAACAAAGAATCTTTACCTTCATCTCCTGATGTTTCAACAAACAGACATTGTAACAGACATTCCTGTCTGTTACATCACATTTTGATGGTCAAGCAGCACTTTAAAGGTTAGGAAAACAGGTTTCTCACCACCTTGATATGTGGGTGGAGGCATATTTACTGCAATATGTTTCTACAAGCTTTAGCTACTTTTTAAGTTTGTCCCTGACTAAACTACAAAGTGACATTCAGATGTTATCAGATGGATCTCTGGGTGTAATAGCCACTTTGTAGCAGCACTGTACTACCTCCATATATGGTTATCATGTGACACACCATGCGTATCACACTCTTTAGAAGCAAATATGCTGTATATGCTGTATCAAAACCTACCCTCTCTCAATTTACGCTTGATCCAAGGCAGCAGCAGCCTGACGTCAGTGAAAATCCCCGGAGAACCTCGTTTGGAAGGGGGCCGGCTGCTGTTGTTTCCCCAGCTCCTACCACATCCTTTACCCCAGGAAGTCACGCCCAGCGCCACCCAGCGATGACCTTCTGACCCTGCTGGACACACCAAAGGACCTCCTGAGTCTCCCTGGACAGAGGATGAAGTCGTGGGTCAAGGGATGAGTCAATTATTTAAAGCTCAGTGGGATAGAATGACTGATTTACGGCACTGAATTGTGCTGTAAATAGAGCATCTGTGAGGATGGAGAAAAAATCTGAAGTTATAAATAATGAAACGATTTTTAATACCTGACAGGCATCGCTCCCTCCTGTCTCTGGGCCGGCACACAGAACTGTCATGCTCGGCTGAGGCCGGACGAGTCTCTGGTTCATCATAGAACCTTTAAGAGTTTGGAGGACATATTTACATTTGGCTCGGTCAACCAAATCCAAATGCACCTCTCTCAGAACCATAGGAAGACGACCCCCTAAGAAACAGTTACATAGATTGGAATAGATTAAAAAGCTCCAGTCTAATTTAACAATATTTAAAAGTCAGAAAAACGACATACGTTCCTTTATCCTCCCCCATCCAGCCGTCATGCAAGCGGTCTGAGGAAGGATATTGTCATTAGGTAAAGGCAGACATATCGGCTGGACACGAGCTCCTGTTGAAAAAGTCACATCAGGTCAAATTAAAAACCATGGTGGCCCGAAAGTACAAAACACAACAGAAGCACAACATTCCTTGTTTCTGTTTTCACATCATTGCATCATGCTTGAATGTTATTCTCAGCAGTGTCCTTGTGTGACTTTTGTCATTGTTGAACCTGACAAAGAATCTGTAAGTTGTACTTGCTTGCATGTGAGCTATGTGTGTCCTGTGACGAGCTATGATGCTTCAAGCAAGCATGCAGACTGCATACACATCACTGTGCTCTGAGGATCTGAAGGAACATCTTAGAGCCATTACATGTTAAAACTGCACTGACCTTCAGTCTGCTGCTCCCTTCTTTGCAAAGGGTCACCGCAGCAAATCTGCATATCTGATTGGTCGGACGATCTTCCTCACAACTCTTGAGGAATTTGTCTCAAACAACGAGTGGTCACATGTTAAGTGAATGTGTTAACCATGCACCATGTAGCCACACCATCCCAGCATTTCAAGCTTAAAAATTCAGTGCTGTCAGAAAACTTCTAATGTAACAGAGACCTCCCACCTAGATTCAGATACCCGGTTGTTGTTTTGTTTTTTAAAATTTGATAGAAAGGGTTGATACAAAAGATATAATTCTATTTTTATAGTTGATTTGCTCCATTTGTAGCCACATAGCTTTCTGTAATAACATTTTCTCCTTTACCATATTGATGTCTTGAAACCAGATGTGACAGATGAGGTGTGGATCTGAGAAAACATGCTGATCGACTCAATTGCAAATCATCGGCAAATGAGCGGAACTGGACTGAAATTCACACAGTAGACTTGATTTTTTACTCAATATGACCCAAAATGCAGGTTTAAGGCACTTGTTTGAGTCTCTGAGTCGAACACAGTGATCAGTATGACACGTTATTTGATTTTGAACCAATGCGAACAGAAAACTTGCCCATCTGGATGCGTTGGTTCAGCTCTATGAGAGCTATGTCATAGTTCATCGGCAGAGCAGGGTTGTACTTTTCATGGACTGAGACAGACTTGACCAGAAAGACTTGCTCCTCCTCATCGTGTACTCTCTGGTCAAACTCTCCAACAAGGACTCTCACACCACTGAGAAACTCTCTAGAGAGAACATTCAAAGCTT